AATGACTACAGGTGTCGCATAATAAAGGGCAAGTACAGATGAAAGAAGGATGTTAAATAATGGAACTGGTAACAGTTCCCACATGTTGAGAATGGCACTATCTATTATGTGACTGCAAACATAACTCTTCATGATATTTCATTCCCCTAACAATTTCTCAAGTTCAAGCCTTCTAACAATTCTAAAACTTTCACGGAATGATCAAAATGACCCCATATTTTATGTTTTCTCCTTAACACATAGTTTAACCACAAGGAATCAATTCTGAAAGGAGTCCACTTACATTGTGGGTTGCACAGTCTCCATTATTTATTGCAATAACACATGCTGGCAACTTGTCTAACAAAATAGTTCCAGAACAGGCAACATAAAAACTTGCTGCTTTAGCTCTTGAATCAGTTTGTATACTATACAATTTTCATTGCATAGCACTGCAGATTTCCTGATGTCATTTTTTTTGCTGGAGCTGCTAAGGGTATGCAGAACCACTGAACTGAAGTCCTGACCAGTGTGCTGTGACTGATATAATTCAGCATTTAACCACTCCTGTACATGATATATTGGAGGTGATATGAACGTGACCCTATCCTCAGTGGTTTTGGGATCAAGTATTAATCTTCAGCAGAGAGCTTTAAAATAATGTAGGAAAAATTTTTTCTCTGAGTGATTACAAGTGCAGGGACTTAGTTAGAGAATTTATTTCTAGTTATGAAAGATTAATTAGTGAATGATATTCATTAGTACAACTATTACATCAGAACTGCATACTGCTATCAGAATATTTCACTTTTACAGTGATCATTTACAAACATGCAAACTCACAAAATGCAGTATATTCTGATGTTATTCTGGCTATCAGAAATAATTTTGCCCTTAAATGATCTATCAAGAAAATATAAGACAACTGGTAAGGAGAGAAAAATCTACTTATGAAATTTTTTAATTTTCATGTTTAACAGAAAATGTTATCCTTTTGGGCTTCACCATTTTTTTTTTTTTCTCCCTCATCCTACACATACGTGCTCAGTTCTACAAAGGATAACTTACACCAAGGATGTTAATCTACTGCCAGTCACATCACTCTTGACCTGTAATAACTGTATTTGCATTTGGTTAGAACTGAACAGCTTTCTTGAAATGCCAGGGGTTGAATAGGGCTTTTGCCAGCAGTTGAATACAGCTCTCAGCATTTTTTGACATGACAGAATCATGAAATCACAGAATGGTACAGGTTAGAAGGGACGTCTGGAGATCAACTAGTCCAACCGTCCACAAGAAAGCATGCTCACCTAGAGCGGGTTGCACAGGATCACAGCCAGGCACATCTTGAAAGTCTCCAAAGGAGACTCCACAACCTCTCTGGGCAGTCTGCTCTAGTGCTCTATCACCCTCACAGTAAAGAAGTTTTTCCTTATGTTTAGGCAGAACTTCCTGTACTTCAGATTGTGCCCGTTTCTCCTTGTGCTGTCACTGGGCACCACTAAAAAGAGACTGGCTCCATCACCTTGACACCTGCCCTTTAGATACTGATAAGCACTGATAAGATCCCCTCTCAGTCTTCTCTTCTCCAGGCTAAACAGACCCAGGTCTCTCAGCCTTCCCTCTTAAGAGGGAGGTTCCAGTCCTCTAATCATCCTTGTAGTCCTCCATTGGACTCACTCCAGTAGTTCCTTGTTTCTCTTGAACTAGGAGACCAGAACTGGACATAATACTCCAAATGTGGACTCACCAGGGCAAAGTAGAGGGGGGGGAGAACCCCTTCAACTTTCTGGCCACACTCTTCTTAATGCACCTCAGGATACCATTGACCTTCTTGGTCACAAGAGCACACTGCTGGCTCGTAGTTAACTTGCTGTCCACCAGGACCCCAAGATTATTCCCTGAAGAGAAGAACTGCAGATCTGCAGGTCAACCCCTAACTTGTACTGGTGCATGGGGTTATTCCTCCCCAGATGCAGCTCTTTTGCTGACCACTTGTCCCAACAAGAAGGATATTAATGGGCAACACGTAAAGCAGACCCCTCTCTCTGATCTTAAATCACATGCAAGAGCTCCAGGGCAGCCAATCACTGGAGGAATTAAAAGGTTTATAAATTCACTCACAGTGCTGTATGCAGTGGAGGAAGGAGCAAATTGACTGAGGACCCAGGTGACCAATCCAACTAATGATGCCATTATTCCTTCTTCTGTTCCCAGCTGTACTGATGTCCCACCACCACTGGGAGCTCTGCCTACAACAGTCTGCTGGAGATCCTATACAGTATGTTCACTACATAGATAAGCTCTCTCAATGTTGGGGGCAGAGCCAGCTTTTATGCTGTTAACTTGGAGGTGGGACACCTGATGGTAACGCTGAAGGTGGGGGCACCTGGTGGGGATCTCCTAATTGGTTTCCACCCAAGGCTGGCCAGACTCTGGGTGAAAACCAATCAGGAGGGTCTTTCCTGCTTGGTCATGGGCATCACCCATATGTCAACCCTGATTCGGGAATGGGGCTTTAAACCCTAGCACTTCAGCAGGCCCCGACACTTGCCTTTGTTGAATTTCATCATGTTCCTCTCTGCCCAACTCTCCAGCCTGTCCAGGTCTCATGGAATGGCAGCAGAGCTTTCTGGTGTATCAGCCACTCCTTCCACACTCAACCCAGTACTGACCCCTGGGGAACACCTCTAGCTAGAGGCCTCCAACTGGACTTTGTGCCACTAGTCACAACCCTCTGAGCTCTGCTGTTCAGCCAATTCTCAATCCACCTCACTGTCCACTCATCTAACCCATGCTTCCTGAGCTTACCTATGAGGAAGTTATGGGAGACAGTGTCAAAAGCCTTACTGAAGTCGAAGTAGACAACATCCACTGCTGCCCCTTCATCTACTCAGCCAGTCACACCACTATAGAAGGCTAACAGATTGGTAAAACATGATTTTCCCCTGGTGAATCCATGCTGACCACTGCCAATAACTTTCTTTTCCTCCACATGCTTAAAGATGATTTCCAAAATCCATCACCTTTCCAGGGATGGAGGTGAGGATGACTGGTCTGAAGTTTCCAGGGCCCTCCTTCTTGCCCTGTTTGAGGACTGGAGTGACATTGGTTCTCCTCTAATCCTCAGGCACCTCTCCTGTTCACTCCATTACCTTTCCAAGTTGTTGTCAGATTTTGGGCTGTTTGTCAATTAACATCAATATGTGTTTTTTAGAATGTTCAGTCTCAGTCCTTCCTGTACAGAATACATTATGTACATGCACATCTACATGTATGATATGTGTACATGTACATACAGATATCTGTACACACATATTCTATGAAATAAATCCAGTAAGTCACAAAGAATGCCTAAAGCTCCCGCACAGACCATTGGCTTTCTGCGCAACAGGACTTCTGATGTTTTCTTATTTATGCTCATATAAAACCAGATTTGTACTACTGACCTTGGATACAAGACAGCTCATATATCTTGTCAGGGATCTAATTCAAAGCCTGATGGAAAGACTCAGGCTGGATTTAAGGCATCCTGGAAAATCCTTCAAATTTACACAGCATAAGATAAAAGCTTTTGAATAATACATTTTAAAGCTTAAAAAGACCTCTTTTTTCTTCAGTTATTTTTCCCAATCACTAGACCATATTTTGGAAATAATAAATCTGTACAACACCACCCTTTCTGTTCTAAACATGACAACAGTAATGGCAGGAAAAACTTTAAAATGTATCTGTAAGTTTAGAAACATGTATATTCTCATAAATGACTTCTGACATTGTTTCTATTCTCCCATGCTTCATTTCTTTCATCATAGCAACTGAAGTACTCAGAATACATTTTTTTCTTTGGTTACGAACATGAAAATAATATAATAATTGTTTTTTAAAGCAACCCCATTATAATTAGGATATAAATCGCCATGAAAACATATGGTCCCCATAATAAAGGGCTAAACCAAAGAGACAGAGAGAGAGAGAGGGAGAGGGAGAGATGAGTATATGTCTATAACAAATATAGCAAAGATGTGTCTAAAGGAAAGTACTACACAAGTCTGCAAGGTACTTTTTTGTTATACTATAATTGGTCAGTGCACATTAATTTATAAGGCTAAACTTACTGCATCAGAAGTGGTTCCCAATGAGCAGTTTTCAGCATCAGTAGAAAGGTCTCTGCTGTTTCACAGCTTTGGATGCTTCGCTGTGGCTGTTTTTGGCTTGTTTGGGGAAGGGGACTGATTATGACTAAATACACAAACTGCATCCCTTCATACACAAGAGCGTTCACACCTTGTGAGACACTAGGCTACCCTTCAGTGAATTTACAACCTTCCTTCAAAATTTCCAGTACAATACATATGTAAAATGAGAGCTTAATCAAATCCTGTTGACTTTACCAAACACTCTTATAGATTTTATTTGCAAAGGAGTACCTTTTACCAACACAATAATATAAAGGATGTTATTTCAGTCAAAAGACTTGTTTAAGCAGAATAATTGGTATCAACAGCACACTTACCTGATAGTGTGGAATAGAAGTTACATAGCTGCTTTCCAGCTCAAAAACATGCAACAGCCATTTTAAGAAAATAATGCAATGTTTGAAATTTATGAAAATTAGATTTTTACTAAGCATGCTTTTGTAAGAGGCTTCTAGACACAAGTAGCACAATTTGATACATTGTTTGTGGTTAAAAGAAATGTGCCGTATATAATTATTTATAAAGAGATATTGCATATAGACTAGAAGGTTTAGATCAGTTGGTGCGTAATAGGTTAGCCACTATAAGAATGACTCAGGTCATGAGTATTGCATTCTGTCCTAAAAGAACGACAAGCCTCTTTTCACTGACTACCATACTCTCGCCAACCTATCAAAAGGACTAAGAGAAATCAATATCACACAGAAAGATGGATTGAGCATGAATCAATGCGGCAAGCACATAACCAAACTGACATGGAATTAAACAAGAAAAAGAAAAGAAACAGAACCCAAACAAAACCAACAAGGATTGTCGCTTAACCTGTTTTGTCAGAGCTGGTATTGATGGTATTGGTAGTGATGGAAGTGAAGGTAGTCTTTGCGCTGTCCTTGGTAGTAACAGATTTCTGCTTATTTTTCATGGCTTCCAGTGCTTTGAGCTTCTTGGCATGTTTAGTGCCTTTGTAGTGGGCCGCAGCCTGGCTCTACAAAGGAGAACAAAATGAACCATGCAATCAGGCTCATTTCTAAACTAGCATTCTCTGTATTAATACAAATACAGACTACCTTTCAATAATGGGTACCGTTCACATTATCCAAGTAGTGACCAAACAGAAAATTATATTTAGAATGATGCTTGGAAAACAATGGAAAAATACTCAAGCAACTCCAATTCAATAAAGACAGTGTATTACTGTATAACTGTGTATTACTTTCAGACCAAAATAAGGTTGTTTTAGTCTACCATTAGCTTTTCTATAAAGACTTTTTTTTATGATTTCACATTAAAAAAAAATATTTCTCAGGCAATAGGGAGGAAGGTACTCTCCTGCCAGTAGCTTTGCACATTTCCACTTTCTATTTTAAACTAGATACTTTATCAAAGCTTTTTTCAAGGAACAGGTTTAGTATTAACAGTGGTATCAGGAACTTGTCAGCAAAGACTGACAGTAAAAAACAAACCAAAAAAATACCCACAAACCAAAACCAAAGCCCAAACAAAATAAAGCAAAACGTAAAACACTCTCTTCAAAGACCACCACCAAAGATTTAACTGAATATGAGGCAGATATGCAATTAGCTGTCTTTCTTACCTAAAAATAAATAAATAAATAAAGGAAATAATTACTTCTGCTACTATAAAAGGTAGTGTCTAAAATTCAAAGTCAGGAGCATCCCTTCCAGGGAAAAGCTCCCACAAATCCTATCACAGTCCCAAATATATTTTGGCTACTTGATATCACTAAGCTAAAATAGATTTGTATGTGCATTACTCTTAAAGCTGATGTATTATGAGTATCCTTATTATTCTAAGAATTAATACAAACATTTCTTCATTTAATTCATGCTGCAAATACATTATAAGAATAGTATTTGCAGCATGAGATTAAACTTTGTACAAAAAAACCCACTGGAATTTATATCAATATTTGGAGTTTATTTCTACTCTAATTATTTAAACTCTTCTAAGAAAGATAGTCTTCCAGTTAATAACTTAGCAACTTGAAAATTCCTTTGCATTTTTATTACTGAACTTCAAACTTTATTGAAAGTAGCTCCTTTCTTACTTGAACGAAAAATTATTAAGAATCTAGAAAAACAGTCATAATTTAGCTACTACAAAATGGAACAATTGAAAAGCAACTATGATGGGTCAAGCCCAAGGACCCACAAAGGCCATGATTTTGTTGCTGGCAAGAAACAACAACAGATACATAAAACATATAAGAAAGGTAAATGTTTTCTGTTGTCAAATGAGAACAAGAAAAAAATGTATGTAATTAATTTAGTAGCTACAAATTCAAAGGAATAAAAGGTATAAAATGACAGTCATTCGACTCATTAAGCCACTCCTGCAGGTAGAAGAATCCTGCATTTTCTGGCATCTATTAGTCATTAGATCTTTATTTAATGTCATTTAATGTGTTAGATTTTGGGGACAGAGGAAGTTCTAGTGAATATCACAATAAGAGTGTATACTAATTAATCTCAAGATTTATGACTTTCAGCTTTCATGAAAAGTCACAATTCCTTCCAGATGCCTGAGATTTGAGAACTCAAGGTCAGTAGGAAAGAAGTAAGAGATCTTGTCTAAACCGATAAACACATATATGTGTATGTTTATACATGCATAGATATAGAAACATGCATACACTCTTGTATACTTAGATGCATCATTCAGTTTGGTTGAAAAGCCAGTTTCTCTACACCTAAAATAATGTAAATATTGTATTAGGTACCCTTATTGAAAGAACACTGGACAGTGAAGTTTTTAATTAGAAACAACTTGAACAGAAACAGCACAATCATGCACCTTTTACAATTCCCAACATATAACATTGAGACATACTGTAAAGGTAAATACAAACAGTCAAGAGATGTTAATTATTGTTAAACTGAAAGACCAGTGTCAAGTTACAACAATGCATTAAAAATTACATTATACAGTACATCTGCATGTCACTATCATGTCAACTACTTTTACAGTTTCTAGTCAAATTTAATTATTAATCCATTCCAGATTCTGAGTGCAGTTGTTTTCCCTAACTAATAGTGTCACTCTTCAAATATCAGACAGGTAGCCAGAATCAGAATCACAGAATCACAGAATGTTTGGGGTTGGAAGGGACCTCAGAGATCATCGATCCAACCCCCCTGCCAGAGCAGGACCATCTAGTCTAGGGCAGGTCAGGACATGGTTGTTAATACTGAATCATGAACGTGGATATTAGTTTGATACACAGCTCAACTTTCTTCACAAAACTGTTGGCAAGCACCCCAGGTTTCTATCTCCTGCCCTCATAGCTCTCTTCTCTCCAAATTCTCACACCTACAGCTCCACAAACCTCAACTCAAGCAGTGTTGGATGCATAAACAATATACAGTGAGGGCCTATGTAGGAATTGGTGATCTCTTCAGTGTTCTGAAATATATGAATGAAATTGCTCCAAAGAAGGAAAATGTTGCTTAAATTTACAAGAACAATGGCTGCTACACAGAGATGTCCATTAATTACTTCCCACAGAGCACTGTCAATTTACTCAGCCTTTACTTAAAGAGGATCTTTATGCCATTTTTATTTAAGAGCTTAAATCTCCACCCTCTATGGGGGCATGAAGTCATCTGAGCTTGTTTCAATATAACTGTAGCTGGCTCATTAATGATCTTTCTATGTGAGAGCAGACAGATTGTTCCCAGCCATTTAACCAGCTTTTTAAAAAGTCTGTCACTGTCTTTCTTTGCAGAAGTAAGATGTAGGAAATGGAAAAATATCCACAAATATCTTCAGCACAGCAACATAAAATATGCTACCTCACTGAATCAAGTCTTGAAGCCATAAGACAACTAAAATAATTTTCACTGCTTTAATAGACTTTGTAGTTTATAAAATTAATTACTTAAGCTGTATTTACTTGTCGTTTAAAGACAAACATAAGATAGATGATAAAAGGCGATCATTCCCAGTTTTCATGCAGAATTAAGAAATACTGAGAGAGAGCAGAGCAGTGAAAGACAAGTTAGTCATACTTTTTGGTATCAACCATGATGCTTGACTGAGTGAAGAGAATGTATCCATTCAGAAAGGTAAGAAGGAGTCTCCTTCTGGAACACTTCAGAGCTCAACAGTTGCAAAGCCCAAGAATACAATATATATTTATTCATAAATTACCTTACCAAGTTGTGCTAGACTTTGTGCTCAGATGAGTTATGAACAGAGGTTACAGGTGAAAACCTACAACTACAGAAGCCAATGGAAATCAAGGGAGGATGTCCTTTCCATGTTTTGTAAAGGGGTACTGACTTTTATAAGTGCTCATCTTGATGGAAGCCAGTGCCCTTTGAGAAGCAACTGATTTAAAATCAGATGCTCTCTCAAATGAAAGAGATTCAAAGCAATCCTAAAGGAAAAAAAATCCCTATTACTACAGAACACTTTGTAATTGTATTCAATCAGCTATCCTAAAACCCCTCTAATATTAAATCCTGTTTCTTTTTATGATTACAAAACAACACTTTAGAATACCTTAAGAAAGAGCTCACTTTCTTCTTTCATCATAGTTTCAAAATTTTCTTCTTACATCATATTTTCCATGTCTGACACAGAACTATCCCTAGCACTATGAAGACAAGTCACTGTCAGCTAACATATAACCCAGCCAGTGATGGAACATGAGACATATGTCAAATATTGCTGCTACAACACTGAAGTGAACGTTAAGAAACTATATCCATTCTTAAAGAGATGTCTAACAAGAAAGTAAAAGGTAGATTATTACTTTGTGTAAAACGCAAGCATCCTTAACTAAATTTTGAAGGCTCTGATTCTTCAAATTGCATGTAGACAAACTTTGGTCTGTGGGAATTACTTCAAGGAAACAGCAAGACATCTAAAAAGAAAATCACTGTTCAAGGTTATTTGTAATGAAATCTTGCCTATTTGAACATTACAAGCCAGTTTAAGTATCTCTTTCAACCAATTTCCTCTGATTCAGTGTATCTATCTTGAATAATTAGGGATCTTTCTAATACTTACATTTTGTAACCTTCCCAAATTGCTACAATATATACAATATATTTGACTATATTAACATTTATTGTGTATATATGTATGTTATAAACACACAGACATACATATACCATAAAAGAATAAAGAAGTTCTATATGCAGGTGCAAACGATTAGAAATATTTGCCACACTGTCAAAACTCAGCTGTATATTCTCTAAGTGCAATACTGTACCACAATTACCATAAGGATGCCATATTACCAAGCAAATTGCTATGTGTAAAATATGATGAGAAAGATTAAATATTTTAAACAATCCAGACAGTATTCTCTTACAATGACAGTCATCCTATACCTACATAGAAGTCTTCAATATCAGTTTGTCTGCTTGACTAATCTACTTCAGTGAATCATATGTCTTCTCACATTTTCTTTAGGCATTGGTCAAACAAAAACATTGTGCTTAATTTTGTGCATTTGAGACAAAAGAAGGGTCTCATCCTATTCTCAGAGTGTTTTCAACTTCGCAGCACTGTATCTTCTATCCCTTTCATATCCCTCCTGGTTCACCTCATATTACCAAGCTTCTTACAGACTGTTTTCCCACCTCAGTCACTCCTTCTAGGCAAAACCTTCAGAATAAAAGCCAGCTCAAAGAAAATTTCTTCAAAAAAGTGTAGTGGATATATTCCACTGATTCTTCCTCACAAAAGTTAATTCCAACTATCTTGCATAATGTCTTTCTTATTTCACAATACATTTTGAAAGGTGTCCACTGTAGAGAGTGCTCTGCTCCATGCTTTCATCTGGTCAATTAGTAGCAAGGCTGCAGTTTGTGTGTACTCTTAGAGAGTGAGAGTGCTGAAAAGTCCTTTTTTTGTCTAGCTGAGATTTCAGTAGATCATGTCATACCTTCATTTTTACCACGTACTGGATGTTAGCATCACCTCTGCTGTTATTCCCAGTACAACAGCAGCAAC